GTGCGAGCCCTTGCGGCATATTAGCATATATGCGCGGCGCGCGGCCTTACCAATCGATACACATTCTACAGCATATTCGACCTTCAAATTGAAGCCATGGGCTGAGACTGTTCTCAATTTTTAGCGTAACTCATCTCATTTCTCAATAAGTGCTGAGGTTGTTTCTGCATTTGGATTTGGCTAAACTTGGATTCGTTATTGTTCAGATCACGTAGTTCACGCCGTTTTCTGTTCCTTTTTTGTCCTCGAGCACTATACTTCTCGTCGCTCGCCTAATCGATCCACGACTATCAATTGCAAAAAATCAATAATGTTTGCATTGACATTTAGGTGATACTGTGATATGGGATGGGGCACCATCCTATTGCTTCTGTACTTTATCACGACAACCAGTGCCGTCAGACAGGTAATTTTCAACTGCTAATTGCCTAATTGTATGTAAATAGCCCTGGAGAGCAAATTGAGAGAAGTTTTGGGGGCGGGGAGGGGCGATGGACATGATAATCGTGAGCTGTCGCGTCGTCGCGCGCGGCGTATCCTGCTGCGATGCGCGGAAAATCTTCGATGTGCTTAGTTGGTCTATTGGAGTGGCGAAACATTTTTACGATCCGTTAATACTCAAATTCAAAAGGCCAGGCAGGCCAACTCGTCTGGTCACACGCGGCCGGTCGCAGCCACGTCCACTTGCGCGGCTATCTACATTGTCTTTGTCCCCATACCCCATAAGGTCTGCTGCGCAACAGCAGCGCGGTGAGCATCTCCTGGAGCCTGGTCTCGACGTGGGGGGGGGACGATTTGTATTATAATTGCTTCCCTGGTTCCGGTTTACAAATCTCACTCTGGTAAAACTTGAACGCTTGTGAAGCTGGAGCAAGATCGTCTAGCCACCATCCTAAAACGTGTCAACTCGAAAAAGGGTAATCTATGAAAAGCAGAATGTCTTCCCCCCCCCTGTCAATGAACAGCGCCGATCTCTCGCATCGCCGCCGCATAACGGATGTTCCAACCGTCACCCGCGCACGTCAGTCAAGCACTGTTCAATCATCCCTTCGAAAGCTGGGATTACTTGTATAGCTCGAGCAGAGGTTACTGCTCCCGAGAATCGAAAACTGCCTGCCTGCTCGTCAAGGCTCGATAAAAAACATTCCTATTTCGGTGCCTTCTCCCTGTAGTAGCGCTGAGAACTGCGCTCTCAGGCATCATCTTACAACAGGCTACCAAGCCTTGAAATCATTGAGTATCACTACGAATTCCAGGTCACCGTACCCGGCGAGATCGTACTCGGCGGACTTTTTCCAATTCACGAAGCAGGTAGAAACGGGTCCCATTGTGGGAAAATCAAGGTAAGCGTTCTCACGCAGACAGAAGTAAATAACAAAAACTGATTCAGATGAGGGATTGCTAGCATTTCTAGCACTTACAGTCTGTTCAAGTTTTTAATCTTAATTTTTCGCCTCATAACTGAACGAAGTTCTTTTGAAGGCCGATCAAGGCGTTCAACGCATGGTTGCTATGCTGTACGCGCTGGAGAAGATTAACCAGGACCATACCATACTGCCGCAAGCGAGTCTCGGAGCGCAGATTCTTGACACCTGGTAAATCTTCTTCTTACCTGTTCTCATCTTTTAACTTCGTTACTAATAATAGCTCAGCATAGATGTAGCTAACTGGTGCCTATTTTTTCCCGGGAAGGCAGCAATTCTGACATGTCTATCTGCTGGTCAATTAGGATACACCAGCGATCCTGACGTGAAGTTAAATGTGTGGCGCATCCTAAGAAAGTGCTGATTCCAACGTGTTTAGCCTTTGTAGGCTAGAATCAACCCATGAGGGGCTGTTGGAGAAAGACTGATTTGGTTTAATTAGCCGGTTTCCAGGTAACATCTGGAAACTTGACCCTCCCAGGTAACCTTCATACCAGAAACCTTTGTTTACCTTCAGTAGGGATTTCGTCAGACATTGCTTTTATTAATTGTATCATAAACCTCTCTTATTCTACAATGTTCTCTGGAACACCTTAGCTCAGCCTGTTTGGGGAACTAAGGCTTCAGTCCGTTTCCAAGAAGCACAGAGTTAAGCAAAGTCGCTTACTTTTTGCACAGGAAATCGGATCGCACTTAGACCGGAAGACCTTTAATCTTTTCAGTGCTGCTTAATCGATACTAAACTCGCCAAAAAAGAAAAGGCGCTGAAGGGAGCACCGGATAGCGCATGAGCGAAACTTTCACTCAACGACTTGTGATTTCTGAAAAGAAATTTGATGCCTGGCGCGATTCAAATATTGAAGACAACTGGTCTCTAGCACTCATCCAAAGTGATTTAAGAGCATCCAAGCATTTCTACTGAAGTTTTCAAGTACAAAAGAATCGGTCTAGGCTGAAGCAACAGTTCCTCTTCACTGTGGCAATGTCAGTTTTGCTCGAGGAGTCCTTCAAAACTCCCTTCCTCCTAGTGGATTTGCGCTCAACACTGTCGAGAACCTGGGCCACTCTTCACAGTCCGTCCTAATCTTCTTGCTTATAACGATTCTTTAAGCCCCTCCAGCACTAAAAATCCCACCTCACTGGACCAGGGCTCATCTTAAAATCACTCTCTATTCAGTGTACTTATAAAACTCACTCAATTTTTTATTGAAGCAAACACCTCTTACTAGATGGCGTTTTGCAACACTCTTTGGTCTGGATTGAGGCGGCGACAGCTTGAATGTATGTGTATCGAATTTCCACTGAAATCACCATGTCCATTAGTAGGCTGCCAAAGATCAAAGCAACCTCTCACATCGTTTCACTTGAATGCTCATGAGCAAATAGCAAACGCAAGCGATCCGCTATTGAATATCAAGCTGTTCAAGAGCTTTTAAAGTCGTTCTCGTACAAAGATGAAGAAATTGTGACAATAGCAGTCGAAAAAGCCTAGCCCATTAATTCTAGCACGGGAAGTACCTAAAAACCTGTGACGAACGCTGAATATCCTATTTCCAACGAAGACTTTATTGAACTTCGAAATAGTAGTGATGCACGGAAGCTGGTGAAATGACGATTTTCACCTATTCCGTTCTTTTATCTGTATTCATAATTTGGGGCGGTCATAAAATGCATATGGCAGAGAAGGATCAGATCAAGTGTACTTTGAGGAACCATCCTTGATTACAAGCCGCCCCCCCCCCTCCGCCCCGTTCCTCTCTCGACAGTCAGCCAGTTTAATTATTTCTGATAGTTGGGTGAAGGTGTTTACTGCCCCATCGCTGCTCGGGAGATATTTGGGGATCACATCGAAGAGCAAAGGAATTGTTGTTTTTGCACGTGGCATGCTTACCACGCACGCGGCCCGGGGTTCAAACCTTGGACCGGACCAACCTTCAATCCTCCGAGAACGGCACCTCGCATTCAATGGGCTACAATCCTATTGAAACGGTGAATGTTCAAATGCGTGGCCGCCGTTCCCAGAAAAGAGACTGATTCAAATAGGTTTATCTTATATCATATTACGAGAACAATATTTCTTCAAAGGCTGTCCATAGTACCTGGGATTAGCGGTGTTCCACGGACATGTAGCCAGACACTTGTGCAATCTTTTTCATGTCGATTCGTTTCGTTTGCGAAAAGCGTCATGCTGAAGAAGTTGGCGAGGGTAGCACGCTGACGAATGTTCTATGTTGCGTTGTGGATCCTAGTCTGCACACGGACTAGGACGGAGACCGGAGAGTTGAGAATTCATAGCGCCGTATCTCAGCTCGTATGGCCTATGAATTGCACTATTAGCCTGCTCCCAGCTTGAATCAGCTGAAGTGATCACCCCTAATCGGAGCTCCTTTAAAAGATTAACTCTGCAAGGGTTCTGGCTTGACCTAAAACGCAGATTCACCTGTCTTTTCTGAGTACGGTGTTCTTGGTAGGCAAGGCATATCGGTGTCGCAGGTGCAGTGCCGGCTGTGGATGTGAACCTGATAAATTCCAAGACATCTAATTCCTCTGGGCGGTTTTTCCTGTGTGGACACATTGGATCTTTTGTCCCAATCATACCAACTACAGCTTGTTGATAAAAACTCGGCTAGCGCTCATCTCAACACGGAGTAGCTCTTGCCGCTCAACCTACTGCGCGCGACGGTAGCCTGCCCACCATTGTTCTGACCGTATCCTCCGGCCCAATGTTCAAAAGAGAAGAATTAGCGAGTTCCTGCAATTTCAGCACTTTCGGATCTGTGGCTTTTTACTTATTCCCAAGACAAAGCATGGACATGAAATTTGCATTGTGTTCATATGGTAGCAAAATAATTATAAGAAGAAAGAAGGAATATGTTTTCATCCGGTGGTTCACCACCGCAATGGCGTTGCACTTGACTGACCTCTGATCCCCACACATGAATGGGAGCAATTTATTAGTTTTAGACGCTAACGCCATTTCCGTCGATGTGCGCGTAATTAACTGTTCTGTGAGAAATGAAACTACTCTCAAATTATAGCGATTGTTGGCTACGACCTCGATTCCTGTGAAAGTTTGTCCCTTTGAAGATACACCACTTCCCTTGGGACGTAGTCCATGAAGAGCAAGAAATTGCTGATTCAAAGTAGATGAGAAGTGATAGAAAGGATGGAGGAACTGCTTCCGATTTATTTTACATCGGTACGCGCCGCTAAATCTACTCCCAACTGAGTTATGAAGTTTTTCTTCATTGCTAAGTAATGGACCCCTTTGGAATCCTTTCATTTCCCTATTGGTGACCGCAAGGGGAGGGGGGTACAGCAAAATGTCACCCTTCTAGGGGCACATGAGTGAAACGGAATGAATTTTTTCGTTGCGTCCCCCCCCCTTCCGCCCCAGTCTATACATACCCTTAAAAAAATTCACGTGTATATTTCTACAACCCATTCGGTGTAGGACTAAACACTAAGTTGACGGTCAGTCAGTCGGCAAACCCCGCGGTTGCATACTGTGGGTGTAATGGTTCAACTACGAAACCTCAGTCACCGAGTGATTCTGCAGGAAAGAAAAAAGCAAAAAAATCGTGGAGAACACTGTAATTACCTTACGACAACCACACTGTACCAGTAACGCGGACCTGCTCGTTTCATGCCAGCGAAGCGATATCCTGCCGCCTCTTCTCACTGATCCTTCCTTCGCGTTATTCAGCGCCAACTATTTTAGAATGAAAAGAAAGCGAGAAACACGATGTGAACATTGAGCTGATGGTGAGCCTTCGAGTTTGGGGGCGGGGTAACTAGGGAGGCGTCGGAACTGCCACTTGTGAGGGTCGCAGAGCCATCCTTTGGAGTCGCGAAAGTGGGGTAGTCTTCGAGAATGAGGGTCAAGCGACTTGTGCGAGGGAGACAGTCTCCCATACGAATCGCTTGAAGCGGGGACTGTCTTCAAGCAGAACACATGCACACTTCTTCCCAGACAAGCCTTCCACCCATTATGCAGTTTTTGGCCTGGAAGACAGTAGCTGTTGACTGGCGTCCGATGCAGAATATAAATTATTCTATTTCACATTACTTTCGATGACTTATATCATGATGCTGATTAGTTATAAATCTCTATCTAATTGAATTTTACAGGGGGTCTTTTCCAAGGAATAGCTCAATTTCCGTTTCGCGCAAGCGCTCCTTAGACGGAAATTGAGCAGCAAGCATTATGGTACGGAGTACGAGCCGATCCCGCTCCCGAAAACAGAAGGGAACCTCAGCCTTACCTTTTTAGCATGAAGGACGAACTGTACTAGTCATGAATCTCTCTGAAAATAGCTGAAAGCTCACCTAAATATGCAAACTGAAGTTTAATCTCCTATGGAATCGTACCGCCTCTCAATTTTAAATTTCATTTTTTCATCATCACATGTTATCACTGTTTCAGTTCCGTAGACAGCTATGCACTGGAGCAAACGTTGGAATTCATCAAATCCGTGATGTCCAGTGGTGACGGAGCGGTCTGTGCGGTACGTGATCCAAGTATTTGTAGAGTTTTACTCCGAATAACACCCTCAACTTACTAAAAAAGGCCTCTGCTCTTTCGAAGTCTTCAGAGTCTGCAGTATTTTAGGATGGCTCGTCGGCTTCCTACCACCGTCAACCAGTTGCTGCTGTTGTCGGAGCGGCTGGCAGTCAAGTTTCCGTTATGGTGGCCAGCATGCTCCAGCTTTTCAAGGTATTTTTTAACATTCAAAATTAGTTTTCCACTGTTACTGTGAACCTTCAAGATCGAAAACACTTCCTTTTTTCTGTTACTTGGCTTAATTATTCAGCTCAGGTTAAAATCCATTACGAGATCGCCTTATGACAATAACTGATGTTTAGCGCCGCAGATCAAAGTCATCGCAAGAATGCTAAGTTATGGGCAAAAGACAGACATCAGGCGAGACCCAAACCCACGCTTCACGCTTTTTCATTACACTGCTCGCTTCGCGAAAGTATGCGGGCTTATATTGGCTCTTTCGCGCGGTACGCGGTCTGACCAGTCGATACCAACCCCGAGCAGTGCTCACTTTTCAGAAACAACAATAGCCCTAGCCCTGAGGAAAAGGTTTAGCTCATGCGATCACAGTTGCCTAACTATGGACTATCAACCCATCGAACCCTGAGAAAGCGTTCCTGCTGAATCCCATCTTACGTGCCTTTGAAAACGTACGAACTATCAGTCATAATGCTGTGTGGGACACCTTTCTGCACTCATTAAAACGGATGATCGCACTCCGGCTATTAGGCTTCTGCGGAACTCACCCGCTCTTTCTCACTGGTGGTCCATGGGAGACGCATGATTTCACATGAATAACGGGCGTTTGTCCAAGTTGTGGCTTACGAATGCGGGAACAGAATCAGCGGACCAACTGCATCGAATTGTGGAACCATTTCCCCACTAGCCTTTTAGCAGGCACTAGCAGAGTACTTCCTAGATAGTTGGCTAGACAGATACAACCGCAGATAGAGCCGAGACAATCGACGCTCCACAGCACTTCTTTGACGAATTGAATGGGTCCTGATGCGAATACTGCGTACCACCCGTCGTGCAAGGCCTGTTCACGATTGGGGGTAGCGCTCCCTCTACAAATCATGCGGTTGGAGAAGAAATCTAGCAAAATACGATTCCCCGATTCCCCCACAAATCCTCCTCTGTCATGACCCACTCCTTTTCCCATCCCTTTTACCATCTTCCCACCCCTTTCCGGAGGGATGTACCAGTTTTCCCCAAAAATTACCCAAGCGGGGAATGGGACTACATAGCGCCGGTGAAGAAACGGGAAGAAACCGGGACTAAAGACTGATCGAACACTTCTGATTCAATGAAAATGGACCATGGCGAGCGTGCACTCCATTGCGGACAAACAGTATTTGCCGATAGTAACATAACCTAGGTGAGACCTGTGCAAGAATCTACAAGTCTTACAGTCCTCGGCACCCTTCACCATAATGTGTACCCTCCTCCACTTTGTCTTCTGGGGGGGGTCGTATTTGGGGGAGGGGCAGGGGTGAGCGTCGGGGACGGGGTGGGCTTAAGAATCAAAATCCAGATCACAAACTCTTCCGGGCATAGGCTCTAATTGCTATCCTTTCAGATTCCTCAGGTCAGCTACTCTTCGACTGGTGCCGAGCTGAGCGAAAAGCCACGATTCGGCTATTTTTCTCGTGTGGTGCCTCCAGACAATCTGCAAGCACAAGTGATGGCACGTGTGGTGAGTGCTGCATACTTTTCGGCCATTCCCACAGATCTTCAGAAGAAGAAAAAGATACAGACTGACATCACTAGCACATTATTCTCTTCCTATTCTTTCGATCCTCCACCTTCTACGACTTCTGCCCATAGACGTAATATCATTTGAATGTTCAAAGGGCTCCTGGTGTTGAAATGAGGTCATCCATCGAGGAGTGTCCATTCTTTAGTCTGGCGTCAAGAAGACCCGGTGGCTCGCTTCCGATTTTAGGACTTACCCGACAAAAATTTCATCCGCATTCCGGGAAACATAGTTTTTTGCAACAGGGAGTCACTGGTATGCGCCCTCAGCACCAGTGGAGCTGGAGCGAAGAGAAAAAGCTGCGCCTCAGTTGCTCATCTTCCTCCTGACTATACCATATTAGTCAGTAATCTAATAGGTGTATCAGATCTCCGAGACGGATTGTTTCGCCAAATGTTTTGCTGGACTTCCTAACCTCGTCTTTTGTGGTGAGAAAACCTTCGAACGTCACTCGACGTATGCATATCTAACAGGGTGCTCGGGAAAATCCCAGCGAATTTCATAATTAAATTTGTTTTTTCCTGAGATTCCACTGATGAAATAAAGCGAAAGAAAGCGTATAGCAGTAGAGATCTCTTGAAAACATTTTATGAGGGATATAGGAACTTATCAATGTATGCATGCAACTTTTCACTGTATGCATAATATAGCGAATTAGCATAAGGGGAGCCGGTAGGTCAACGTCAGCTGCAGCAAATCCGCTATAAGCCCTGATATGAGAGGCGCCCGATAAAGCCCTGACCCTAGTGAACCTCCGAGGTAGTTTCAAAGTTTTACAATGGGTAGGGTGTAGTTGACTTCAGAGTCAAAGGGGACTAGTCGGTGCTTGAAAGAACGCTCGTCGTCTAGGCCTGACTGGGCCTCCTTATAACTTTAGGACCCAGCAGCACACGAAGAAGGTGGGTACAACGGTTAGCCCAGCTCCATTTATACGATCGGCCTACAATGCACTCTGAATATTTACTGACGGATAAGGTTATTCAGGATGACAAGACATATTTACAGGTACGAGAATTGGAATGGAATTACGTACACGCCATCGCTGATACCGGGTCGTACGGTAGGTTTTCTAGGCATAAAGCACTCGTTTGGTCAAAATTTGGGATACAGGATTCATCATCTAATATTAGTCCGTGCTGCAAGTGTGGGCGGGGCACGGGCGAAGGCACTCCATTATCACCTTCTCTTACCCATCTTAGTATGAGGGCGCACCAGCTAAGGAGGGCACAATTGTTGGATGTGTACGCCCACACAGTCAGCATAGACTGCATCTCAGAGAGCACATAATGTAATCCTTAGGTGAACGTGGAATGGATTCGTTCCGAGCAGCTGCAACTGAGTTGGGCATTTGCATTGACGGAGATGTGCACAAGATCGGGCGACGATGGACGGACAAGAACTTTCGGTAAGATTAAATTATTTATTTGATAAATTCTGATGGTCTCAGGTTCACTTCCTGTAAGTCCAAGCGTTAATGTACCCTAAAGGGCTGGAACCTAACAAGGAGCACGGTGATGAAAAAGTTGAGGAAAAGTGTCATGCCTCAAACTGTTGCGGAGTTCACGAAGGAAGCCAGGCTGCACTTAAAAACTTAAGAAACTGAAAGACGCTCGGCAGTTCTCACTATCTTTTTCGTTTTGGTTGTTTTTTGTGTCAGCAGGCCACGGATACATCAAGCAGTACCGTTCCGGAACTCCTTCGGCTATAATGCTTACAGCTCAAATGATTGATAATTTCGTTGAAATTCCAATATTTTGTGGAAGCGAAATAGCCTGCTGTTCTCGCATGCACCGCTAATTGGTGTTTATGCATGCTTTCAATCCCGAAAGGACTGGCACAATTCACCCTTCGAACCCTTGCCTCAAAAGTTGATCCAGATTTGATTTCCCCAAGGTAGAAATGGCTGCAGTCTCGTCTTTTTCTGGGTGAAACACGTCGGATGCGGGCGCTGGCACCATTGTCGCTAGCGCTAGTGTTTCCGCTTCAACCTCCGTGTTCAGGGGTAAGAATAGAAGGAGGGAGCAGAGTCTAGGCGAAAACACCGTCGAAGGAGAATTTCTTCAGACCTGATTGGAAAGAATGGGACTGTATTCTTAGTAGTGGTCTTGCTGATGAACCGGCTCAGTATAAGGTGGGACCAGAGGCTCTTTCTCGGCGTCCCTGTAACATGCAAATTTCACGCTTTAGAGCAATTTCGTTTCTTACTCTTACCATGTTCGCAAATATTGTTGCCAAGGAAACTTAAAAAATGCAACATTCCTCCTGAACGCATGGGCATCTGAACCATGACACTACTTTCGCATATTTCCCAATTTATCTTGAAACAGCTCATATAATGTACGTCCTCATCATTGCGGACCGGTGGGGCGTGTCAGTGCGGCTGCGTTTGGCGCGGTGCCAAAGTCGTTCTGCACCAGTTGTTGAAGCGGGCAAGTGACATTACTGTATTATATCCTTCGTATTACTCGTTTTCTACCACTTTTTGTCGCATACGCGTTTCAACAAAAAGGCTGAGAACGGCTTCAACAGTGTGCACACTCATACTGGCGAGGCACTACGAGACCCCTGCACCGCTTCAGTGCCGCCATAGCGTGGCGCCCACGTCCGCAAGTGACTGTATAGAAAGTCGGACCTCGTCTAAACAAAGTGTAGCCCTGCATGACGAAGTCATTTCAATATGCTTGCCGGTGGTTGCATTGCATGGCTCAATTTCAGAGTGAATGATCAACTCCTTTACATCACCCCCACTTATGTTAGTAAACCTATGCGGAAACGCTTAGACACAGGCAGAGTTTCAGGCCTCTTATCTTTCTTGTGGTGATGTGGTAGCCAACTGCGCGGGAGGATTAAAACCCAGGTTTGGGACCGGCTGAGGCAAAACGTTCTCACCCCTCTGTTTTAACCCGCTGATAACTTCTCCGCTGAGGAGAGTGGCTAAAACCAAGAGTAAGGCAAAACAAACGAGCCTTCGATATTCCAGCTAGAGCTCAAAATTGATTAATTAAAAGCATTTCAGTGATTTGTTGGTCCACATGCATCGAACGCGTAAGGGCTTTCGAGCGTGTGGTGATGTGTTGTCTGATGGAGGATAATCCTGCAAGCCGCATTACTTCACACTGTCTCGACAACGCTCATCAAAGACAGGCCTCGCCTATCCATATCTGAACTGGACAGACACTTTTGGTACGGCATTTATCGATACTTCAGGTTTTAGGCAGTGTTTTGCTATGTTATAAATTTTGTTGCATATATAAATGACAGAAAGCTGCAATAATATTTGGTTGGCGGGAAAAATCTGTCACTTTTTCGAACTTAAAATATTTGCCCATTCTGAAGAGGGGGACCGGTAATGCGAGCCCTTGTATCCCAAGGAATGGTCTTTCTATTAGTACCACTCGCTTGACTCCTGCTTCTTCTGCAATGGACAAGAATGTAATCCGCTACAGTTGCCACCGAACCCTCCATACTTCCAATGATAGTGCAGCGCACACCATCCGAAAAAAGTTCTAGCCCTACCTCATGCAATAGGGCTGGATGGCTCTCCCCTCGCACTGGTGTAGCCCAGATACTGCTCCGCTCCTCCTAACTGCGAGTTGCCACCCGTAATCAATCGTTATGTGGACGAGAAAAGACGAGAAAACCCCGAAAAGTCTGAGTTCAAGCCAAGATTGAGATGATGTCCAACTTTGCGTCACCCTGCATTGTAAAGCGATGGCATCCATAAGGTGAACAAAACAGGCAAGGACCCCGCAGTAAAATTGCTGTACAATTTTGATCTTATACGCCTCTCTATTAAAAGGGAAGCTTAATTTGAAAGAAATGTGACAGAACTTTCCCTCCAACCTATTACTAAAGCACCAGTTTTTTTCGATGACTTTTTTCATGAACCTTCGGCTCGCAAGTACCGATCGTCAGCTCCCCCAAAACTTCAAAAGCACTATTCTGAAAATGCGATGTACACTCATATCCGATGAGATGGTGAAAATGTTGAATAGAAATCGAAGAAGGCACGAGGGGCAGTGGAGACTAACTTTTTGTTATCTATTTCTTGTTTTTTTTTTTGTCTACTCATTTTCCATCCTTCCACTTTTTCTTCTAAAAGAGAGAAGTTCTAGCGAAATACAATATTCTCGTCCATGCGGCTTCTTTAGAACTTTTTCAGATCATATTTCATATTTCGTGTTCATAGCAGAGCAGCTGTCAAACGAGCGCATGTTTTCTGCCACGATATGTGGGGGGAATTTCCCCAAGTGAAGATGCATCTCATATGGGTGTGTCCCTTCCTGAAAGCAGATAAAAAACCAACGGGCGCTAATGGACTTTCCTTGAGTTCTTCTAAAAGCACTTGCGAGAAAAAGAATGAGACAGAGAAAAAAGGGAGGCAAAATCATGGACTGAGGAAAAAACCTTAGCCATTGTTGTCCCAAATCAACCAAGGTTAGGGAAAGAGGGGGGAGGGGCATTCGTGCAAATCTCTATCAGCATACAGACAAATGGTACGATATCATACGCAACAAAACGATACCATTTTCATTTTGGATGGCCATTTGGCACGGAGCGATTGAGCACGGCAGTGAACGGTTGAAAGTCCGCGCTTGCCAGTACCTGTAGAAATCGTCCAGCACTTAGGTTCCATTCGTATCCCAGAAGAAGTTTGGGTTCCAAACTGGGTTGTGAAAAAACTTCTTGGGCTAATAGCCCCCTTCTATTAGGAACTGAATGCTTTGGGAGGGAAGAGTTTTGCTGATTTGAGTTGTACGACCTTCCAGTCGTCCTACTGTGGCATAGCTTGTCCTCCTCCAGTTTCGGTAAATTGATTGTACATTGCCTTGAACTTTTAAAAAATTTTTTCAATAAATCTGAACTTTCTCCTCCTGCTACTGCTGACCACGCCCCAAATGAAACGAATTTGCTGTCGCTGTTCGGGTTTTCATATCCAACAGCGTCAACGTCCGATGAACAATTCATGGATTCTTTGGAACTTTCCAGCTAATCGGAGACTGCTGTCGCCTTACAGGAAATGTCCTGATTGCAAATGCAGTTCAACCGCTCCTTGCTGGCGACCAGTTGAAAAAAAGTTGATATTATTCCCTGACTTATCATATCATCAATATATCTACATCAATATCGGTATGCGCAGAAGTTCCAGAAATGCTCCTCCAAAGGGAAAGGCACCCGAGACAAACAGGGTGAAAGGCACACTCGCTTGACTAACAAGTCAACCATAGACTCTCAAATCCCAGATGTATTGAAGAGTATCTACTTACTTTACCCATAATCTCGCTGCCAAATTCCAAGGGAAACTCCCTGAGTTGCACTTCTGCAGACACGACACTCACCAAGCCAAATAGCTGCTCAACTGTGCCTCACCCTGGTTCACTGTCCGAAGAGGGGGGAGGAGAGAAATCTTATCCCCGTCATTCCTGAAAAATTGGAACTCAGCGCTTGTGCTCGCAGAGTTAGATGAGCGGATTGCACGCTGAAAGGGCGGGCTCTCAGTCGTGGATGCTCTTTTCCATTTTTAACTGCAAAACTTTTCACGTCTGCTTTTGCGGTGAAAGAGTGAGTGAAAAAATGCCTGATGCGATGATAACAATAAGGGGAGAGAAAGGGAAAAATTGGCATTCGTATGAGTACCAGCCATGGATGCTATGAATCATTCGAAGAAAGCAGCAATTTGAGTAATTCGAGCTTTAGCAGAAACTGCAATCCACGGAAGCCCATAGGCGGTAACACCCTACAATTTCTCTTTGCCTATTGACACTTCCCTCCTCTTCAGAACGTTGCAAAGGGGAGCGCACCAGTGAGAAAGGGAAATTGGCTGGATGTCACCGCATGACTCTGACTGCTATCAACGTGCATTCAAGTTTCAGAGAGTGCTTTCAAAACTCTGGACCTTCAAACGCTATCAAAATAAGGTACAATGTTAACGAGTTGATAGGCTGATTTACCTCTTTTTTCAAGGTTCGTCGCCAGTGATTCGTGGGGAATCAAACAATCCGTCGTGCTCGGCCTAGAACATCTCCTCGCAGGATCGATTACGATTGCGCCTCATGTTCGGGAAGAGAAAGGTATTCATTTCGTTGCTGCCGCATTTGAAATTTATTCTTCGTAATTCGCGATATCATAGGTTTTCCTGTGTTTGAAGAGGGTCATTGCATTTCCGTGACTGCTAGTATCCGACACAAATAAACATAGGCATTACTATGACCAAATGAAAATTGCCGGCGTTCACCGAACTGACACACCTTGAATTTCCCTCTAAATTAATGGCTCTGCTCGAGTTGGCACGAGCCTAAGTAATACTTCTGCACGCTGCCGATATACTCGCATTAATGCATGTAACATCTTACAAGGGAGGTCTTTCAGGTCGTGGCGCGCTTTTTGGAAATGGTTTGTTGCTTGTTGTAGGGGTCCATACAAGGATCACAAAAATGGGTTTCATTTTTGCTATGCGTTTCTGGGTAGGTCAAAAACTGAGTGAAAACAATTTGACGAGAAATCGCGATTTTAACCGTGTTAATGGGCTCTGTTGTAGCTGTAACTTTGACAGTGCATAATTCATGAGGTGTCCCTTCACTATGTATTGAAAAGATAGCAAAGTAAAGCCAATAAGAAAGTGGACGGAGGGGAGTAATACCGAAGTTACTTGAACGATTCTCGCAACCGCTGTTTCGTGGTCGGTGGATGGCGGAGTGGATAGTGCTGGTGGGCTCTCGCGAAGAAGGTGCTTGGATCGGATCCCATTGGCGCCTAACTCTTTGCATTTTTCGGATACTTTATACGTTTTTTTGGTTTTGATTTACGACACCATTTTGACCAACGGCGCGCTCAGCGCGACTTGACTGCAGAGCACATTCTTCCACTGAATTGTTGCCAACCCGCACGCAGGGGCTGTTAAGCGCTCATCTCGAGGAGAAAATTTTTGCTGAAAGTCTGTATATAGAGGTTATTAATGGCCCTGATGACGATTCTGACCTTTAAAATGGGCGTCTAGGTCATTTGGCGCCAACATGGCTCTGACACCTCTCACGCCAGCTGCGGGTTGGGATGCTGCGAGAATCTCTTGAGAAACTACAATGCTGCCTCACTATGTGCCAAATAAAGTACTTTTTTACCTTGAATTGTATTGTTTTCGATGCAGTGTCGACGAAGGTCTCATCTGCTATGCATACTTAACATTATGAATAGAAAAAGCCTCGGAAAAATGGTTCAAAATCGCTTGTCTACCCAAGCAAACTTTGCACTCAGTTTGTGACCTACCAGAACGCATAGCAAAAATGAAACCCATTTTTGTGATCCTTATTCGGACCTCTACAACATGCAACAAATCATTTCCGAAAAGCGCGCCACGACCTGAAAGACCTCCCTTGTTAGATGCAGTTGGCACGACAATCTCTCAAGAGTAAGACTGATACCCCACTGACAGGACGGAACTCCGCGATCCTCAGCAGGCGCTGCGTAGCGCCTTTGCCGAGGGGTGCACCCTATAAAGGCCCTATCAAGCTATAACATACTGACCCAAACGCCCACCACGCCCACCCGCCCACAAATGGACGACCGTACTTTTGCTCATATTGCTCTTCTGCTAAGTAAAATATGAAGCGAAGGAGTCGGTATGAAGCGGCTGTGGTGCTGTATGGATATATGAGTACATACAGGCAGCCGTACCCACCGTGACGGTAGTTGGCAATATGTCCACGGAAAACTCGTCTGGAATTACTTTTCGAGTCATTGAGACGAGGCTTTTCCTTGCAGGTTTTTGAGCATTCCACTTCGCCCATTTCCCCACTATATAGCGCTGTGCTAGCATTTTAAACCAATTACCGGAATGTTGTGCCAAAAACCTTTGAGTAGCAAAACCACGCTACATACGGTATTGCACCCTGCGGACGCAAGGGCATGTTAATGGGCTGGGTTTGGCGCACCGCGCCTGTTCTCGCCTGTTCTCCACCAATTAAGGTTGCCTGTCAGCTTCTACAATTCGTGTAGAACAGGCTGGCGCCGCGTCGAGACGCGGTATCAGTGGCTGCTTTGTCCCAGAATTCAAATATCCCACTAAAAACTCAGCCGCCGTTCAAGTGAAATAACG